GATAATGTTGACCAAAAAGTAGGTCACCGTGACCTACTTTTGACATTTGATGGCTATATTTAATTATCTCTGGTACTAATTGGCTTAGAGTCGTCAAACTTTGTCAGTTGATGCATCTTGGGTTTTCAGAGAATGTTGACCAAAAAGTAGGTCATGGTGACCTACTTTTGAATATCTCAGGTACTTATTGGGTTAGAATCATTAAATTTTGTCAGTTTAGGCATCTTGGGTTTTTGGATAACGTCGACCAAAAAGTAGGTCACCGTGACTTACTTTTGACATTTGATGGCTATTACAGTCTTCACGAAAACTTTTCAAACTAACTGGCCAGTCGGACCAGTGAACTTTCAAAATTTACTGGCCCACCAAAATTTTTACTGGCCCCTTAATTAAAAAATAAAATAAATACATTTTCATAACTGTAAATTTATACATGTTTACATACTTCAACTTTTGAATGCCGCCATTTTTCGTCCTTTGTCGTGTTTAGGTAAGTTGTTCATTGGAAATTCGCTTATTTCACGTACTAGTTAATAGTTACTAGCTAGTTCCGGTTGTTACGTAATACATCCATGTTATAATAGGGTTACAATAATACGATTCAACAACACGTGCTTGTTCTTTTTATATTATATATCAATGAAATTTATGCAAGTAAGTCAGTTAAGATATATATTGACTGTGTATGATTTTTATAATCAACAAGCCCATCGGACTTCTTGAATTTTGATTTTCACTGACCCGACATCAAAATTCACTGGCCTCGGTCTTCGGACCAGTGAGTTTTCGTGAAGACTGGCTATATTTAATTATCTCTGGTACTAACTGGCTTAGAATCGTCAAACTTTGTCAGATGATGCATCTTGGGTTTTCAGAAAATGTTGACCAAATAGTAGGTCATGGTTACCTACTTTTGAATATCTCAGGTACTTATTTAGTTAGAATCATCAGTCTTTGTCAAATAATGTATCTTGAGTCCTCAGAAAATTTCAATCAAAAGATAGGTCACTGTGACCTACTCATGGTACTTTATAATTACATTATAATATCTTCAGTCTTAACTGGCCAAATATTATCAAACTTTGTAAGTTGATGCATTTTGGGTCTTATGATACTAATAGAGTTGGAGACTTCTAATAGAAGTGATAGATTGTACAATTTATCAGAAGAGCGATTCAAGGCCCTTGGGCCTCTTGTTAAGATTATTAGGTATTGTTGAGCTTGAGTCCGACATTTAAATAGCGACTTAGGTCAAGGTTTTGTGTGGAGTTCGAGAAATCACAAACCATTGACATTGTGAGGATGCTGTGACCTAATTAAATATGTTTCAGGTTCTAATTGGCTTAGAATCATCAAACTTTCAGTAGATGCATATTGGTTCCTCAAAGGATGTGAACTGAAAAGTAGGTTACTGTGACCTTTTTTTGTAACTTTATTGGTATAATCAGTTCAGTTGATGAATCATGAATCCTAGCTCAGAGAATAACAACTGTCAAGTATAGGTCACAATGTTATGATCTACTCTCAGGCGATAACTGGTGTAGAATCATCTTTGGTTCAGAGTGTTTCATCCAAAATGTAGGTCATGATGACCTACCTTTGGAATTTCAAGGCTTTATATACAAAAAAAGCTTTAAAAAGAAGTGATAGGTTGTACTATTTATCAGAAGATCAATTCAAGCCCATAGGCCTCTTGTTGTTTATTAAACTCAATTTCAAAGAAACTATGAAAGTTATTTTAATCAAATTCATATACTTAACACGTTTCTATGTTGCATTCATGTCTTATGGACATGTTTCTAGGTCAAGAAGAGAGTTGTAGTATTGGGTGAATATTTTGGCGCTTTGTTTGTGCATGTATAATGTAGATTGAAATGTTTTATGGAGAGACTTCACTAAATATCCAATTCATACGACCTGATTTGCATACCTCAGTATATTTTACACATGAATAAATTTACTCACATGTGCAATTTTTATAGAGCTGGGTATCGCGGCTGAAAAATCGTATCGCAATCTATTTCAATATTATATTTTGTATTGCAATATATCACAATATAATTTTTTTAATAAATTTTGATTTTCATCAATGTTAAATGAAAACACAAACTGAAATTACTTGTATTCTCGAGTTGATATTGCAACTGCCTGATCGCGTTGTGTGTACGCAAGTGGCAAGCTAAGTTTTTTTGTGGCAAAAATTTAAGAATCAAGTTGTAATATTCAGATTCTGCTTTAACATGAAGGGCTTTCATGTAAAGTTGTCATCTTTTCATCTCTGACAGACATGTCTCTGGTTTCCGACCAAACGTCACGTTGCTTGCCACCATATTTTACCTTGGAAAGGGCAAATAACTCTTTTTGTAACAATTAATAGCATATCGAACCCGAACCGGTATTTACAAAAAAATACCGCGATACGTATTGTGAAGAACGAAATCGGGATACACCGGTTAACCGGTAATATCGCACAGCACTAAATTTTTATCATATGAACTGATATACGCAGATGCAAATTCTGCACAGTTGAGTAAATTTACACCTGGTCAGGACTAGGTGCAAATTAACTTTTGCATACACTTTGTAGCAAATTATTAGGCTTAAAATAAAAATAAGTTTGTTTGCAGTTGCCTACCGACCCTCTAAAAATGCACCCGACCCAAACTGTATTTTAGCCATTTTGTGATTTTATTTATTTTTTTTTTTTTCAGAATATTGAAACTGATTCATTTTCAAATTTTGACATTTGTTTTTATCAGTCAGTGGTTTATAACAAGAGTTGGGCTTATTCATGTCTAGTAGGTCTATGAAAACCTCTATTATTTGTTATCTAACGAAAATGAATTTTTTCCAAAAAAAAAAAGAAGAATGCCTATCTACCTACCCAGTTTAAAAATTATAGGTCGGCAACTGCAAACAAAGAATTTTTTAAGCTTGGCCTTAGTTCATGTGTGTAAATTGTATCGTATGAACATGCAGCAAATTTACATACATGTATATATGTATGTATTTTGTTTTGTTTATTTTATTAATTTCAAGTGCTGTTTTGATTGTGTAAGAATTGACGTGTAAAATAGTCTGTAAACATGGTGGCTAGATTGATACATTTGTTTAACGTCCCTCTTGAGAATTTTTCACTCATCATTTGCCGGTGGAGAGCTGCAAATTCTGTCCTATACTCAGCATTCAGGGCCATTGAGCAGGGAGAGGTCTTTTTCATGCCTGCACCTACTGCGACACGGGAGCTTGGTTTATATACGGTCTCTTCCGAAGGACCGGTCTCCACGTCCAACAATGGGATTCGAACTGGCGATGTAAGGATCAACTCCTTACTTCGCGACTCTATAGCAGATGCTTTAACCTCTGCACCACACAAGCGACTTGCTGGCTAGAAAGTATTCTGTATTTAATTCAGACAAGCTACTCATATAAAAGTTAATGTTTCAGGAATTTCAATAAACTAGCTAGTGAAAATAAACATTCGTAAGTAACCTACTTGGCACCAGCTGATCTCAACATGAATGTCCAGGGGTTCATGTTAATTTCCTTTTAACATATTTGTATTGTTCAAAGATTTTTGAGATCAATCACTGCTAGATTTTTTTCATCCTTTTCATTATACTGAAAAGAATAATTATTATTTAATATTCAAGCAGATGTTTTATAATGGCCTTGCACACTTGATGTACTGTAGATTTCCCAACAGCAAACAAATTTTAAATTGGTCCTTATTCTGCCGAAGACGTCAACTAGTAGATGGCAATTCCCGTTTTCTTTACACCCAATGGCTCTTTTACAATCTTTGGGACGGAAGCTAAAATATTTTCCAACAATAAAGCAATATATGAGCTGTGTTTTTGAGAAAATTATTTTGCTATTAGAATGTGTTATTATGATTAATTTGTATATATTTTAAAACCTTATGATAAAACCAAAATAAAAGTTTCAAAATATTTCAAAAGAAATGTTTCTGTACAATCGAATATATAGCATTATATAAGAAATCAATAATGCACAGGACGACAATAATGTCATTTTGTTTCAATTGAAGCTTGTAAAAAGTTCTTCCATCGCAAATATGAACAATTGTAGTTTATTAATGTTAAATGTTCTATTTTTCTATCATTGAAAAAGTTGACTACAAATTTGCAACAAAATTTCGCCATGTCAATCTTGCAGCTCATATTAATAATTTTAATAAGTTTTCCAACTTTGTGTGTATATTCCTATATCTACAATTCTTTCTACTTAAAGTCATTAATTAAGTTGTACCAATAAATCAGTGGAATGGACACCCCTCCCCCTAGTTTTTTGAGGAAGATTTAAAAGATAGTCTTATACCCAAACAACAAACAATAAGGAAATACCCCTTTTCTATAAAAAATCACAATTGTGAATCTGTCCATCTCCTTAGTTTATTTGAAAATATGAGGATTTACTGTCAGCATCTTAATCTTGTCTAAACGCATTGCAAGTTAACTTTTACTTACATGTGTAGATTAACTTATGTAAATTTGCACACATAAGTAAATTTTCGTCATATGAATGGGGTATTAGCATTGTCGCAAATGCACAAAATGTACGATCCTCTCCCATTCTGGCCGTGGTTGAACGAGAAGAGAATTCTTCGTAGCTCATTAAATAATTGACTAATGCGAGTAAAGCATAGTCGGATGATGAACTTTATTGCGACCTTTCAATGTCCAATCCCAGTACAAGAAATATTTCTTGTATACTGTTGACGTCAGTTGTTGATTTCAATTGCGATGGAAACAAAACATACCACTGACTGAATATGACGTCACAGTAGAGAGGCGTAAATATTCAAGATTACGACACCTTTTGTGATCAAGCAGCCACGGGTAGGAGAGAGCACTATATGCAGACTCCGGACCGTGGCTTGAGACGATGGGGGTATTAGATAGTCAATGAGAAACTTATCCATAATATTGACAAACTTGTTTTGCTTCATCATCTTTAATGTTTCTGAATCATTTCAGGTTTGCATGAAGAAAGTCTGATCAAAGTGTTCAATTACAAAGAGTCTGAAGAAGGAGAAAGTCAGAGTCGTACTAAACAAACAGCCCCAACAGAAACAGATATCACTGTTGCATTTGCCGAACACCTTCTTGGAAGACTTGCTCCAGGGCAATCATATATCATTGATTACAAAGCAAAAAAGAAAGGAAAATGCAAATGTGGATGCAATGTGGACCCAAAATTTGGAAGTACAGGCATTGGTATGATTAATTTCTTTATTAAAGTAGCATAATGGATGAATTAAAAAAAATACCAAAAGCTATTTATCAATCTGCGATAAAAATATAGGCAAAAGAAAGAAAATACCTAAGTCTCAGGATATATCTTTAGGTATTGTCTAGGTAAATGCCAGGTATCTCATAAATATCAATACACGAAAGAGAACAACATGTTTGATCAGAGCTTTTTAGCTCCCCTGAAAACTAAATATAAATTATTATACCCCCAGCAAACGAAGTTTGGGGGTGTATATAGGAATCACCTTGTCCGTCTGTCCATCTGTCTAGCTGTCCGTCTGTCTGTGCAATCGTGTCCGGTCCATATCTTTCTTACAGAGGGACATTAGAATCTACTACTCCACACTAAGATTGCTCATGACCTAAGGGTGTGTCATGACCTTGACCCAAGGTCATTTGGGAAGTTCAAGGTCACTGGAAGAAAAAATTTATAATTCGTGTCCGGTCCATATCTTTCTTATGGATAAACTTGGTAGGTTCTCATTTCACACAAAGATTGCCCATGACCCAAGGGTGTGTCATGACCTTGACCCAAGAAGTTTGGGGGTGTATATAGGAATCACCTTGTCCGTCTGTCCATCTGTCTAGCTGTCCGTCTGTCTGTGCAATCGTGTCCGGTCCATATCTTTCTTACAGAGGGACATTAGAATCTACTACTCCACACTAAGATTGCTCATGACCTAAGGGTGTGTCATGACCTTGACCCAAGGTCATTTGGGAAGTTCAAGGTCACTGGAAGAAAAAATTTATAATTTGTGTCCGGTCCATATCTTTCTTATGGATAAACTTGGTAGGTTCTCATTTCACACAAAGATTGCCCATGACCCAAGGGTGTGTCATGACCTTGACCCAAGGTCATTTGGGAAGTTCAAGGTCACTGGAAGAAAAAATTACATAATTCATGTCCTGTCCATATCTTTCTTATGGATAAACTTGGTATGTTCTCATTTCACTCAAAGATTGCCCATGACCCAAGGGTTTGTCATGACCTTGACCCAAGGTCATTTAGGAAAGTTCAAGGTCACTGGAAGAAAATTTTATAATTCGTGTCCGGTACATATCTTTCTTATGGATAAACTTACTTCTGAAAAACCCAGCGGGGGGTATTTTGTCCCGTTTGGACAGTTCTAGTTTATTCAGAAGGAAACTTTCAACTAGGTTGTCTTCCTTTATTTAGTATATTATCTTGAGATATTCAATTTTTATGCCCCCCGATCAAAAGATCCCAGGGGTATAATGTTTTTGTCCTGTCTGTCTGTCTAGTTGTTTGTCTGTGTGTCTCTCTCTCTGTCATCACCTTTAACCTAGCCCATAACAGGGTTCGACATTTACGCTCATCATCTTGTCATTTCCACCCAGAAATGATTTGGACGACCTGATTTTCAGTCTGGCTCGCCCAAATGATGACCTGGGACAAGTCGGGAATATTTAATAACAATGTTTAATATTTTAAGATTGACTTCATAAGCTGGCCTTGAAAACATATTTTTCTGTAACCAAGCCAACACATTCAACATGTTCAAATTGCAGCCGCGTAAATTTTCTTTCTGCTAAATCTATGTTCGATCAATCAGCTGATGCAATTTTTACCAAAGTCTTTAATAAAATTTTATTTGATATATAAAATATGTCAACTTTGTCAACAATCAGCTTAAATATAAAGAGAAATAATCATCTTGCATTTCCCTATACAACTTTCTTGAGTCTCAATCTTTAATTGTATGTTACTTTGGTTGGATCCCTTCTTTAAGCAGAATTTGGCAAAATTTTCATGAAAAAAAAGACCAAATAACTTTTACAAATAGACAGTACATGTTACATCTACAGACATATATCTGATTCAGTGATTGCCTCCATTTTTTGTAACTCACCACTAATATCTGCAGTTATGAAGTAAATTGATCCTCAGGATACTGATTCTCGTATTCTGTTATTTTCTCCAAAGGTTGACAAATAATGACCATCCTAATTATCCTCCACTCAACCAATTCACATTTCTAACGTTACGCGCGTTTCAAGTTTGCACCTTTTCAAAAGTGTAATGCAGAGCTATATTTAGAAATAGTTTAAAATTTCTTAGATTTTTGTTTTAAAAAAAATAAACATATCTGAATAATTTTTCACTGAAATTAAAATTTTTTAAATTAATTAATATCAGTTTAATCAATTAATGAATTGGGTTTTTTTTTACAAAATCAATTACACATGTAGATCTAGCTTCTTGGTTTCGTATTATCATACCAAGTATGACGGCCGCCATAACCAGAGGACAACAAATATCTCTTGGTACTAACTCGCCCCTCAAACTAAGTATTCTGAGCTATGAAGACATATACAGAAGAAAAGACTACAAAATACGAATGTGGATCATGTCATAGATACATCACAACCATGTAGTCTGTGCTGTATCATTTACACATGATGCACAGAAAAATGTGACTTTTTTTAGCTGCATCAAAATATAAAGCGTTTCAACCCAAGAATAAATTTAATGCTTGATTGCAAATTAATTTACTCGGTTAAGTTTTTCCATCCATTGGATCCATCCCTCACTTCCAGCGACCGAAAGTCCTCCAACTTTTTATCAGCGATCTTCAGACATGTTTCTTGTGTCTTTTCAGCATTGATTATCAATTTGCACAAATAAAAATATTCCCAGACAACAATCTTTTCACTAGTACTGATCACAGGTAGCTATTCAAAGTATTTTCTTCGAAATAGAATCCTTCGCCTGATGAATTCTATTGGCGTTACCGCCAATCAAGCCAATTTTAACCTTGCGTCATTTTTCAAAATCTATGACGTACGGTTAGTGTAATAATTAATATTCGTAACTATTGTCTTCTGAGAAGGCTTTCGGCCTTCACAGGATTTGATCACGTGACCGACCCACTTTAATTCCCATTGAAAAGTTCAAGGTCAAACTGCCACTATTCCTTTGTTATAAGTACAAACCAGTAGAGCTACATTCTCGTCAGAGACTTCTGGTTATTCTTCTAAGAGCTGTAATATACGGCTGATCAATTTCTTTGAAAAATGAATTAGGTTTTACTTCAAACTAAACACAATATATTTAGATAAAATAGAAACAGCATATATCGTATTAACTCTGTATTTGTATATATTCACAATAAGTTATTAATCTGTTGCCCTCTTTTAATTGTGACATTTAATAATTGTGTTCAGTTTGGACTAAGGAAACAAACTTCTTTTTTTCCAGGCCATGAGGAGGTATGGCATGGCCACATTGATATTATATTTTCATCATATAACCTTGAAGAAGATCAGTGCATTGCAAACTGTGAGAAGGATCTAGTTGTTGCAGATTGTAGTACCAGTACATTTACCCCTTTGAAAAAAAGGAAAGAAGATGGTATGTTGGATTTTACTGTCATTTGTTTTTAATTAATATTCATGTCTGTTTGTCTGTCTATTAGCTTTTTCATATCCTCTAATACTACCTGCCGCCTTATCAAGTTATCTAAGTTCAACAATACTATTAATTTTAAGAGGTAGTCAGATAGTATCCACATTTTAACATTTCGGAAAAAAGTTCTTACCATAAATAAAGAAGAATAGGATTAGAGAAAGAGAGATACAATTCATCTCTTGGGATTAACTAGGCTGAGTCTAATTCAAGTGCACATAAATGCAACAGTGCACTTTCCCAAATAATGTATTTGGCCGAGTATAATACGCATTGATGTAAAATACGCACCCCCCTTTTTGAGTCTGAAACTGGGGAAAAAACGCAGTTCGGATGTATTATACGCAACAAAAAAAATTACCAAGCGATGTCCTGAACTTTGCAAATTGCAGTAGTTTGTTACGAAAATCGGCGCGAGAATTAAGTGTCAAAAATTTATTGAACACACCTATTTTAAAATACACACTTTACAACTTTCTCTTAATCCTGACATTCCATATCGCGGCAATCTGGAGAAAATTATTTTCATTTATTTCAACAAAGCACAAGATAATTTTGCGTAAAAGTATTAACAGAATTTTTTTCAGCATAATTACGGTGATTTTGAAATTATGCGTCGCCATATTCTTAGATGAAATAATTTTATTTCAACAAAGCATGAAGTATTGTTGAAAGTTTTAACAGTTGTCATATTTACTTTTGGTTCTAGGTAATCATGCTGAAAATTATGTTACAATACTTTAACAGGATACGAGATTGAAACATCAAAGTATTGTTGATTACGATTTCCCTTTTCTGAATCTTCGCGGATATCTTATTTTCTAAAGAGCACGAATAAATGATAACACTAAAGTTTTAGCATAATTCATATTTCATTTGTCAACTCTCAATCATTTAAAAAAAGAGGCCGATAAGTATAAGATAAGGCAAAATAACATTTAACAAGTGTTTAATTGTTTAATATGTCGTAATCAACACATGCTCACACATACGATAGGTCATAAACCAACCCCCAATTTTTAACAAAGAAATTAATCAAAGCAATTAACATGACAGTAAATAATCAGTGCTCTAACTGTAAAAACATTGCTTTGGAGTCAGTAGACAATTAATAGCCTGGAGGAGTGTTGATAGGTAATTATTATTTGACCAGTGCACGTGTGTCACAACATTGGCTTCCTTTCATTGGGACGTATGGAGGGGTGTTTATGTTGCAGCAGATTTTCATTGAGTTATTTAAAACCTAAAATAATTTTTTATTTTATTGTATTTCATTAAAAAATGACTTATTACTTTGTCTGGCAGATAAGGTACATGTGCACTATCATTACAGAAGTACGTGGCATAGCCATGAGTGAACGTCTAAAAATAAAATCGGCAATGGCAGCCTTCTTGGAGACGATCAACATGCAGCTCAAATTACTTTAAACTTGCTTTTTAGCCGGGCTTATTGCTCAAAGAGCAATTGCCGGCTTATGTGATCCTGTTCAAGACAGGATGTTAACCCCATAGTCGCCATTTCAAAGTTACGTGCAAAAATATAGTTCTTACTCTCAACCGCTTTTGAGATTATACAAACGCTAATTAAAGCAACAAAAATAAAACGAATTTTATCTAAAATAAACATTAGTAGTAATGACTTTGAAAACTTCATAAGTCAAAGAACATATTTCATCAGCGTAAGGATTTTTGATTATCAGTGTTACCGTAGTTCTCTACACATACGAGGTAAAGCAGGAGAGGGAACTAGACTGGCCTGTTTGTTTAGGCCTAAAAAAAAAATATGTTTGTTCCCTGTAACCCGACCAACCCATTCAAATTATCCCCGGGTGGATTTTTTTTTCTGACAAATGGCAAAACTTCGTTTGATCAATCAGCTGATTCCATTTATTAAATTTAAAAAATAGCTTGTAGCTTAATTTGAGACATAAAATATGTCAACTTAGTGTACATTTACCTTAAATATAAAGAGTAATCATTATTGTAACAACAGTTTCCCCCTACAACTTTCTGAAGTTTGTTTTCTGCCGCTTGGCAGCCATTTTGGATGCCATATTGGGTGTCCACTGTAAATATAACACCTGGTATTTTCGGTCCGGGGATGTTTGACCATTCATAAGCAAAAAAAAAAAAAAAAAAAAAAAGAATTTCCGACCTACCCACCCTTGATATTTTGGGAATGTTACAGGAAACAAACTTATTTTTTTTAAGCCTTACATTCAGCGGCGGTACCAGATTAATTCTGATTCTGACAAAATCGGACCGTGGTATTAGGATTGAAAAACTCACTGTCAGTGTCTTTTCATTTATATTGATAGTTTTAAAATAATTTTTTCATCAGAATATAAACGTGATTCATGTAAGAAATCCATTCTACTCTGTAAATGAGCCCGGCTCTCTGTACTTCTGAGTACTTTGATTTATGTTATTATGGTATCAAAAGCTTATGAAAGTGACATTTTTAACAAGCATACCTTCCAACAATAACTTTCCGAAGTTTAAAATATGGCAATAAACAAAAGAATTTGCATATGTCTCTAAGTAATTCTACGGTATGTACATATAATAGCTGTGTTTTACCTGAATGAAAAACTTATCAAAATCCCATTGTGATGTAAAATACGCATCCCTTTCTCACAGAAATTTATTTTGGGAAAAAAGTGTGTATTATATTCCCCCAAATACGGTTTTGTAATTTTAAATTAAAATAACATTATCTGTAACACCTACTGGTCCGAAGATGTGAGTTTATGACAACAATTTGGAAAAAAAACCCCACTGAATTAACTCTAACAATGTCATGTTTTCCAATTTTGTATTAAGCAATACATGACGCTGAAGAATGACATATGACTCGCTTATATGTTTGTAGACATTCATGGATATAAAATACTAAAAACTGATGACAACAAAAGAGACATACTAGCAATCTAAATTCAGTTAAACTTCTCCGAACCGTCCCCCCTGGAAGCCACAGGGATTTATCAGCCTATTTTGGGAAACGCCATTATTTGGAAATTGGGAAAAAGTTATCGGCTTTTTGATGAAATTGGGAAAAATATATATGTTGCTTAAACCATGTATTCACTATTCAGGTTCAATTTATTTACTGCTGTAATTTGGGCTACCAATTAACAGACAATTAAATATGATCCAACTTCATAAATCACCATACAAGATCAATTAAGTATGAAAAATAGACTAATAAATGTGCTATGTAAATTTGAATTCAATGAGTATTCATTTTATACAACTTAAGGTAGTATATTTGTGCGCCATGAAATTCCAATTTAGGTCATGGGAGATCAGGGACCTTAAGTCCCTGGGGAAATATAATAAACCTCCTGCAAAATAATTTAAACTAAATGCACATTTTCTAAAATATGCATTGAAAATATATTTTTCTATGTGAAATAATGCCTGCAGTTCTTACCATTCACTCGTAGATCAATTGAGCAAGTCAAAATGAGTAAATAAACCTATAGAAATACACAGTATCACTACTTCAGAAAAAAACTGAGGAAATTCGGAATAAAAATTGGCGATGTTTTTAGACATGTGTTACAACTGTAGGTTTGCTAAATGAGTTAAACTGAGGAAAATTACAGACAATCTGACTAATTTACTTTGTGTTTTTCCAAGGATAATTAAAAAAAAAGCAATGTTCTGCAATTGGGAAAAAATACTGCCAAATTGGGAAAAATTGAACTCATTTTCAATTGGGAATGGGGCCGAATTTCGGCCCCTGAGAAGGCACTGATAAATCCCTGAGCCAGTTCCCCTAATCTCTATTGAGATTCTGCTGGGCTAGATATTTTGACTGACACCCACAGAATTTCTAGACAGCCACTCATAATTCATGTAACTATGGAAATCAAGCCCCAAATTCGGCTGACAAGCAACCTAGGCCACACTGTCGTTCTCTTCAGTTAAGTCATTTGGTTGTTTATTTGACTCTCTGTCACTATTATTTCTACATTGCTTACCATTTAGGCATGTAAATCCCAACATAAAAAATATTCAATTCTCCATTCGAAATATGGCTCCTGTGACGAAATTGTTTACCTCCTCGCTTAAAAGAGTTCCTGTAGTCTGTTTTCTTATATGTGATGTTCACATAAGTTCATTTAGTTAAACATCAGCTGAAATTATAAGTCCTGGCAAAATTCTTAACATTTCTTTACACATAAACTCTCATAAAACAGGCCATCCTTAAACACCGGCCACTTTTTCAAGAACAAAATTTAAGAAACAGAGAAATTTTTCCTCACCATACTGGCCACTTTTTAGCTTTTCTGATCACATTTTGTCCGGCGTCCGTCTGTCTGTCTGTAAACTTTTCACATTTTCGACTTCTTCTCAAGAACTGCTAGACCAATTTCAACCAAACTTGCTACAAAGTATCCTTGGGTGAAGGGGATTCAAATTTGTTCAAATGAAGGGCCACGCCCTCATTCAAGGGGAGATAATTGGGAATTAATGAAAATTTGGTGACATATTTTAAAAATCTTCTTCTCAAGAACCACTGTGCCAGGAAAGATGAAACTTATGGGTAAACATCCTCAGGTAGTGTAGATTCAAGTTTTACATAGAAATATATAGGAAAATTCTTTAAAAATCTTCTTCTCAAGAATGACAAAGCCATAATTCATCATATTTATATGGAAGCATGCTCAGGTAGTGTAGATTCAAATTTGTTCAAATCTTAACCCCTGGGGCAGGGTGGAGCCAAAATGGCCGACCAAACTTTTACATAGAAATATATAGGAAAATTCTTTAAAAATCTTCTTCTCAAGAATGACAAAGCCATAATTCATCATATTTATATGGAAGCATGCTCAGGTAGTGTAGATTCAAATTTGTTCAAATCTTAACCTCTGGGGCAGGGCGGAGCCAAAATGGCCGACCAAACTTTTACATAGAAATATATAGGAATTTTTAAAAAA